ACAGTCAATCCCACTATTCGTTGGTAAACGAGTAGCCCAAGAGTTGGCGGTGGGTGGTGATGACTAGCTGCCTTCCCTCTAGTCTTACACTGCTAAATTAGGGACGGCTAGCGCAGATAGCCCTCGTGTAGCTTTGCGCGAAATTCAAAACAAACAAACATATTAACGTTTGTGTGAGGGAAATGGTGGTGGTGAATTGTAATGATTATATATTCTTCATTTCTTTCACTCATGAGTTTTTAGAATTTCATTCGAAACTTAGTAGGAGTTTTAGTAACAATAATATTGTTATTTTTTGTTGTTGTTCTCAGGACAAGAATGACTTTTCGCCAGTTTTTCAACATTCTTTTTACACAAAATCCATCCCAGAGGACACGACAGAAAACACTCCAGTTGTTCAGGTTTTGGCCTTCGACGGGGATCATTCTCCTTCCAATAGCCGAGTGGTATATCGAATTCAGTCAGGAGCCCAGGACAAGTTTGTGATTGATGCCAACTCTGGAGTCATCTCTGTGGCCCAGGGTGCCAACTTAGATCCGGACAGAACTAGTCCAAAGACCTCCTCCTACACTCTACAAGTTGTAGCACTAGATGGTGGGATTGGAGAAGACCAAAGGCAAGCAGTTGTGCTGGTCAACATCAGCATCACTGACGTCAACAACAAGGCGCCTACATTGACCGTGCCCGAAACGCTTAGGATTCTGGAAGATGCACCTCTTGGCTATCACGTGACCAAAGTCGTGGCGAGTGACCTAGACGATCGGCCAGTATTGAGATACTCTTTTGACTATTCTCACAGTGAAGCAACGAGCGAAGACGGGGCGTTGGTCACTTCTTCAGAGTATGATATTACGGGAATATTTGATATTAACAGCGTTGACGGGTCAGTGAAGGTGGTGAAAAAGTTAGACAGGGAAAAAGTGGAGACTATTAAGTTACTGGTGAGAGTGGAGGACCTAGCAGCGGTGACCCCTGGTCAAACTGCTACAGGTTAGAAATTGCTATTATTTAGTATCAATAATATCGCATCTAAAATAAAAATTCTGCCACATAACTTTATCTGCATGATTTGATTTAAAACTACAGTTTTTCATGTTTACAATCTGTTTCATGAGACTTTAGCTTTTTTTTTTTTACCCGATTTCATTTAAATCCTAGAAACTATTTGCTAGATCTGACCCAATGGTTAGTATGGTCAATCTATGACAAGGGGTAAATTGTTTGTGGCACGTTGCTCCCCCCCCCAAAAAAAAAGTTCTGCAGACTAAGGCTGCGAGTGCGTTATAAGAGTAGCGGTCAAATCCCACCCACTATTCGGTCAGATGGCGGTGGGTAATGTTGACTAGCTAGATGCCTTCCTTCTACTCTATCACTTTTAAATTAGGGACGGCTAGCGCAAATAATCCTGGAGAAGTTTTGCGCGAAATTAAAACAAACAAAATTCTGAATCATTTTTTTTCTCTCTCTCACTTCTTACCCTAATATAAAACAGTATATTTTGCTTTAGAGTTTAATCTCACTTCTTGTACTAAAACAAAACAACTGTTTCTTTAACGTTAGCTCTTTCACTTCTTACACTAATAAAAACAGTTTTTTCGGCTGTCTTTCTTACTGCTAGAACTAAATAAAACACATTTACCTATTTTTCGGCATTTAACAACTAACAAGTCTTACTTCTCGCGCTAATACGTAACAATTATTTCTTTGCCTTAGATTTTACACTCTGTGTACGTACTAATATAACGCAAACCTGTTAAGAAAAAAAAAAGGATGAAATATATAAAATATTTCATTTAAGAAAACTACTAGCCATTGAAAAAATTTACAGAATGTCTAGAAAACTTCTGTAAAACTAAAGAGTATACTATAGAGAGTTTGTTTTTTCGTAGTTAAGCACAAAGCTACGCGATGGGCTATCTGTGTTCTGCCCATCATCAGCGACGACCACACTTAGTTGTGGGCCCTAGTGCGAGATAAAGTGGTTACGGTTATTAGCCTTACTGCTGCGCCACTTGGGGGACACTATTGTTTGTTTGTTTCTTTGTAATTAAGCACAAAGCTACACGATGGGCTATCTGTGTTCTGCCCATCATCAGCGACGACCACACTTAGTTGTGGGCCCTAGTGCGAGATAAAGTGGTTACGGTTATAAGCCTTACTGCTGTGCCACTTGGGGGACACTATTGTTTGTTTGTTTCTTTGTAATTAAGCACAAAGCTACACAATGGGCTATCTGTGCTCTGCCAACCACGAGTATCGAAACCCAGATTCTAGCGTTCGTAAGTCCGCAGACATACCGCTGTGCCACTGGGGGGCTGGGACACTATAGAGAGATTGCAACGATGTCTGGCAAACTTAAAGTATTAGTCGATAAAATGTTCTGTTATTAAACTTATTATAATATCTATACTTGGTTTTACAGCAACACTAACTGTGGTTGTTGAAGACATTAACGACAACAAGCCAGTGTTCACCAAACCGTTCTATAAGCAAGCCGTTACAGAAAACGCCAAGATCGGCTCACCTATTGTGACAGTTGTTGCCACAGATGCTGACAAGAATAGAACAATTAGTTACTCGCTAGAGGGCAGACCGGAAGTTTCGGGCCTAATTTCTATAAACAACAAAACAGGTAACGTTTAATAGTTGTGTTTTTTTATGTGTTATTAATATTTAATTGATAAACATTATTTAGTTTCCTAATATATATAATGAACATTATACATATCAGTGCAGTTTGTATATCATTTTAAACGTGTGATATAGGCTGTAAGATTTTAATGAGTATATAAGTTATTATATGTATGTATATTTGTTATAATAAGACCCAATTTTTGTCTGTCTCTAAAAATTCTCGTGCCCCTTACTTTCTAAGTGGCATGCGCGCGCACTTAATTCCAACGGATGAAAATATACTTTAGTAGACACTTTGTACAACAACATATTAAAAGCTTATGAACGTTTTTAAAAAGATATAACGTTAGGTTGTAGAATGATATTATATATTTATTTATTGATAGTATTTAAATATTGTAAAGTTTAGCCTTAACTAAACTAAAGAAAAAAAAACTTGCACAATATACAGGGTTAATTTATCTCTTTATCTAATTTAAGCCGTACTTAATAAAAGCGTAACTAATGTTAGGCCTAAGACAAGTAGCCTTATAGATTTCGGTGTATGCGATTAGAATTACTTTATAAAGCAGGTATGTAAAGGAGTACTATTGCGGTAAAAAAACTAATTTGACCGCAAATATTTTGTGGGTCTCTGCCAGTTTATGTATAAAACGAACATATCGAAGGATAGTGAGAGAAAGCAGTTTAGTGTGAGAACTGTAGTCGTTATCCTAAAAAAATGGCGAAACTCAGATCATTTCATGACAGTTTAGTATTATTATTTAATCAATCATTTTCTTCGTGGGAGATTAGAACTTAATTCAACTCAATGTCCAACTCAAAGTGATCTAATCGCATGAGTTAATAGTCGCTCTAAGTTTCTGATTGGTCTTCGAACTTTTGAATTAAGCAATGTCTAATGTGTCTTCATTTAGGGTATTGAATTCTCATTGTATCTTCACTGGTTTAGAAACGCCTAAATTCTAGTTTTGATTTTAAACTTACTGTTTTAAATCTTGTTTCTACCTTATTTCTATACAAATCAAACTATGTCAACCTCCAATTGATACAAGTACCTTCAGTTAAATACCTATCTTCTGTGGCTTATACTCTGATTAATGTACTCTTCTTCCGAATTTTATACTTTTATTAAAGTACCCTTCCACTGGTTGTTATATCTTTATTAAAGCATCCATCCTCCGGATGTTATATCTTTATTAAAGCATCCTTCCACCGGATGTTATATCTTTATTAAAGCATCCTTCCACCGAATGTTATATCTTTATTAAAGCATCCTTCCACCGAATGTTATATCTTTATTAAAGCATCATTCCACTGGATGTTATATCATTATTAAAGTACCCTTCCACCGAATGTTATATCTTTATTAAAGCATCCTTCCACCGAATGTTATATCTTTATTAAAGCATCATTCCACTGGATGTTATATCTTTATTAAAGTACCCTTCCACCGAATGTTATATCTTTATTAAAGCGTCCTTCCTCTGGATATTATATCTTTATTAAAGTACCCTTCCATCGAATGTTATATCTTTATTAAAGTACCCTTCCATCGAATGTTATATCTTTATTAAAGCACCCTTCCACCGAATGTTATATCTTTATTAAAGCATCCTTCCACCGAATGTTATATCTTTATTAAAGCACCCTTCCACCGAATGTTATATCTTTATTAAAGCCCTTCCTCTGGGGTGGAAGGATGCTTTAATAAAGATATAACAAGCATTCGGTGGAAGGGTGCTTTAATAAAGATATAACATTCGGTGGAAGGATGCTTTAATAAAGATATAACAACCAGAGGAAGGGTGCTTTAATAAAAATATAACAACCAGAGGAAGGGTGCTTTAATAAAGATATAACATTCGGTGGAAGGGTGCTTTAATAAAGATATAACATTCGGAGAAAGGATGCTTTAATAAAGATATGGATGTTATATCTTTATTAAAGCATCCTTCCACCGAATGTTATATCTTTATTAAAGCACCCTTCCTCCGGATGTTATATCTTTATTAAAGTACCCTTCCATCGAATGTTATATCTTTATTAAAGCATCCTTTCTCCGGATGGTGTACCTATATTAAAGCATTTTTCCTGAGTATGTTATGTCTTTATTCAAACACTTTTTTTTTCTCTGTATGTTTTACTTAAACAGTTTTCCTCCATATGCAATTTCTTTTTTATCATTCTTCTTCTGCACTTATCACATTTCAAACACCTTCCTCTATATGTTATATCAGTTTTTAATTTAACCTTCTCTGTGGTATTTCACAGTTGTTTTTATTTTTCAACTAGTTTCCTCAGCATATCTTCAATTAACTCTTCCGTCACCAGGCATTTTGTATTTCCTGGAGTCAGGGAAAAAAGGGGAAATACGAAATATTAAAAATTTCGTACTTGATTGATTCATTGTATATTTTTTTTTACGATAGGTCCTACTAACCATATATCATTGGATTCCACGTGAAAAAACCCTTATCAAAGTACACCCACTTGATACCCGGGAAAATAAATAAAGGGCGTACCAAGTATGCCACTATCAGCAAAGGGTTAAACTTTTTCCTTCTCGTGTTGCATATTTAAAAAAAAATTCTCCCTAAAATTTCGGCGTTCTAGATATAATCACGTTCAAGTGAAACACTAATTGATTTGCAATGTTAGGACTAGTGTTTTTAATTCGTAAGACTTTCTTTGAACGTTCATAAATAACAGTAAATACATGTGTTTTTTTCTGTGCCATGCTTGCTTAGACGCCGATTTTCTGTGGGTACATCCAGAAAAAGGTGGGTTTATCTATATGACTTTTCCAGTTTGTATACATGAATTGTTTATGCCTCTTTTCCCTAAGAAACGCACATGTTCTGTTACTATGATGTATATATATATATAATAAGATGGTGCCCCCAGTGGCACAGCTGTATGTCTGCGGACTTACAAACCGGATGCCGATAGCCGTGGTGGGCAGAGCACAGATAGCCCAGTGTGTAACTTTGTGCTTAACTTCTAACAAACAAACAATAAGATGATACAGTGCCTTGCAAAGGTCTTCACCCCCTTTGCTGGTAATAAATTTTAGGTATTTTCTTGTGAAAGACATCACTCAACTGGCCAAAGATATTTATTATATTAGTCTCAGGCCAGTTTCTAAAGATTACAAAGAACAAAATGTACATTGTTACCCAATTTAGTGATATAAAACAGAAAAAAAAATCTTGAAAACACATCTTGCAAAAGTCCTCACCCCCCTCAGCTTTTACCATTAATGATTTAACTTTACGTCACTACCCTGTAAGGTAAATACAACTGTATGTTATAGAGACATGTGAAAAAAGACTTTAGATCATATAGAGCCATCAGTATTGATTTAAGCAGAGTATTTTGAAAGTTAAAATTTGGTTTACTGTTACACGTTACCAGCAAAGGGGGGGGGTGAAGACTTTTGCAAGGCACTGTATTATGTACTCGAGATGTAGGATAAAAAGTTACTTTAGCTTTTGAAATATACATGTTAATATTAAAAATGAATACCTCAGAGTAACGAAGCGGACAACGTGTTACCCAATGTAACTATGTATATGTATTAAGTATAGTTATTTGACATACAATATTCATTATTGTTTCGGACCTTTAGAATATAAATTTGGGAAATATTTACGCATTAACAAATGCTTGAACAACAGAGGTTCATTTTTTATGTAATTTTATCTTTTGGTGAAAGTTTATACATAGTTTGTTAATATCTTAGTAAAAAGAAATATGAACGTCAGTATTTAAATAGTTTAGTTAAGCTTATCTGTAATGTAATTTTCCCACAAAGGTGAGGTTGTCGTCAACCAAAAGATTGACAGAGAACAGTTTTCATGGTTGAACTTAACGGTTCGTGCTACTGACAACGGAGTTCCGCCGCTATCTGAGACAGCAAGTTTGTTCCTGCAAGTGTTGGACGATAATGACAATAATCCTATTTTTGTTGATGGTCCCTCTCAGTTTATCATTCCTGAAGATGCCGCTGTGGGCCAGCTAGTGGCGTCCGTGCAGGCCACGGATGCTGATACTGGAGAATATGGTAAAGTGACTTACACCTGGGATCCTTCAGGTGGCGACGGAAAGTTTAGAATAGACAGGGATACAGTAAGTATAGGGGTTAGGGAACAGTTAAAATTTCCTTATATTTCTGCAAGCTAATCCTTACTATACTTTAATCAGTCCTAGCATGGCCTAATGGTTAGAGCATTCGATTTGCGACCTGCGGGTTGCCAATTCGAATCCCGTCACCGAGCAAGTTCACCCTTCCAGCTGTGGGGGCGTTTTAATGTGCCGGCCAAGAGTTGGCGGTGGATAGTGTTGACTAGCTGCCCTCCCTCTAGTCTATCCCTACTAAATTATGGACGGCTAGCGTAGATAGCCCTCGAATAACTTTGCGCGAAATTCAAACCAAATCAAATTTAATGCTTCGTCAGCGATTGTTGTTTAAATTGTAGCACAAGATATACTTTAACTGAGAGAATATAGTTTGCATTGCACTTAAGTTGAACGTTCAGTAACTTAAGTTAAACTACGTTCTTTCGTTAGCTGTTGAAGGAAGACAGGTCTATATTATGTAACCGAGTTTACACGCTATCTATAAGTTAGGCTATTTTTGAGTCTAAAACTTGAACTTCAATGCCATAAGCGTATTACTTGACAAATGAATGTGATTTAATTTTAAGTATGTGCTACAAAGAGACAAACTTGGCTTGGTGTGATGTTGTAAGCCAGTGCGATATTCCATTTTAACACTTGGCTGGCAGTTAATTTAATTAATCAATTAAAAAAAAGAGAGACTGGATGTAGATGTTTTACTGTGAAGCAAAAGCAATACTTCATTTTAACTAGCCCCCCCCCCTAGTGGCACAGCGGTATGTATGCGGACTTACAACGCTAGAATCCAGTTTTCGATACCCGTGGTGGGCAGAGGACAGATAGCCCATTGTGTAGCTTTGTGCTTAATTACAAACAAACAAACATTTTAACTAAACATCAACAGTGGTACATGAAATATTATCCACTTCTGATCAGTTTCTTGGATAAATAACACGGGCGAATTCTGGACAATTGTAGTAGAGAAACAATTATCAAAGTTATTCTGGCTAAGAAGTAATTTTACATATGATTATATTCAATCTTAAGTCCATAAAGATTTCCCATAATGCCAAATCACACACGTCAATAGATCAGATCAGTCTCATTAATAGAAAAAGGGAGACTGGCATTCTCCGATATTCCCATTTACTCAAGTAACCTCTATGTTAGCCATGTTAGTTAAGGTTATCTTGATAATTTGACCAATGCAGATCCTACGAAAGAAAATAAGCATGCATGTGAACTGAATTCCTACTGTGTTCAGCAAGATTATCGCAACTCAAGTTTGGGCACATCCAGCTTACATACTTTTTTGTTTTTTTTAGTTATAGTTAAGGATTTATACCTTTTAGTTTTAGTTACTTTAGCTATAGTTGTTATTATTATTATAGTTAAACGAGTGGTGACAGCCTTGACATCTGTTGAAGTAAAATAAATCGGAGCTCTACATTAATTAACCCCCTCACAAATACTTTTCTTTGGTTAGCCAGCCACCAAAACTGAATGATCAGAAGTTTTCAGTAAACATACTTTCGGTTCAGCTACATGACTTTCCTGCATTTATGACGCATTCTATTCACATATACAGAGATGTCAGTCAGACTGCTTGTCCACGAACGCACATGGATGTATGTCACATAACTAGATAATTTTCATTATTATTTTTCGTTACTATTAAGTTATTGTTTTACATGTTTTCTAGTTATAGTTATACTTATTATTAACTGGTATGGCTTATGTTCGTTACAGTTATCACTGTTTACATAGAACAGGGATTTCCAACTTGGTGTTAGTAGTAACGGAACATATAGAGGGCGCTTAAGCTATTTATCTGTTCGCAGTGAGAACTTTCAACCGCATTGCATGTGCAATTTAACCACTGATCTCTCTATATATAGTGCACTTGAGTGAGTAAAGCATTCAAGATGGCGAAGAGTAATGTTTTAGTGCCAGATTTGGCGCGGGTTTCTAATCGCGGAAAGACTTGCTGAAGGTATTTATTTATTCGTTTTATCTTATGTTTTTTTCTTAATAAGGTTATTATTTTCATCATCAACAGACCAACGTATACTGATAAAATATTGCGTTCTTTCACAAGTGATGTTTAGACAATAACTAACATCGGCCTTATACAATACGTAGTCAAATATACAATCAAACATAACTTCATCAATTAATAAATACACCATATTGTCCTTAGGGGCCAAAATAATGTTTTCTGTATCCCCAGTCAACACATTTTCGTTTCTTTTTATCTGGTACTGCCACCTGGCCTTGTGAAATGTGATAATAGATGTGTTATATATATGTTATATATATATATATATATATAAATTATATATATGTGTGTGTGTATATATATACATCATGGCTTTATTCAAGCTTATTGGTATTAAACGCCAGAGTGAAATAGCAATAAGTAACAAACCCCAAAGCAACTAAGCCTCAAAATCATAGGCACTAAAAATAAACTATTTTGTTTAACTTGTTAGTTTTATTTTTCCCGGTGGTTGGCGGATCAGTTATTTTTAATATAACTTGTGTGTTTAAGTAACGAAATCCAAGGCATAAATACTACTTAACACTCAAGCTCACTACCGGTGGGATCCACATATTATGTAATTTAGTTTTTTACCTGTTACAATACTCACAATAAAGAAATGATAAAAAAGTTGGGTTAAATCCCCAATTTTTTACGTAAAATACACACGAAGCTATTAATGGGATTAAAAGCAATATTTATGATGTTTTTTCCTGTAAATATTTTCATGTAATTCATATGTTGTTATGGGTTCTGTAACTAACAAAATTACAGACTCACGAGCAAATTTGGTGCATCAGTAGTTTCGAAATATGTGTTTGACAAAAGCCTGTTGGATCATATGGACCCCACCGGTAATTATTAGGTTATTAGCTGCTATATGAGGGGTTGTAACACTTTCTAGAACCATATATTAAAAATAAACTTTAGTACAAAAGTATGGAATTCTTTTATTGAAAGCAATGTTTCTTATCTTTTTCAAGTTTATATTAAAAATATAAACTATTTTCTGAAAAAAAGGGGGAGAAATTGCATTATAGAGGGTGTTAGGATCGTTTTGATTAATTTTAAAATAAATAAAGTTTCTGGTGGTGAAACTAAATACATGTTACCATAATTACAAGTGAAACGTGACGTTTCTCACGAGAATGCTTACTGAAAATGAAGTGAGAATTCTAGTTGTTAGGTAGCGTTGCTAAAGGGGCAAAGACTAGATCTTTATTTTAACAAGTCTTTATTCACCTTCTAGGGACAAATTATCGTTGCTGAACCATTGGACAGGGAGAAAAAAGAGATTTATAACTTAATTGTCCAAGCTTGGGACAATTACGAATATGGATTTGTTACCGGAGAAAGTAGAAAGGCATTTCGAAAGGTAAGCCTTATAGGCTTAACTTAACACGGCCTAAACTAAAGTAATTACTGTTTATCATCTCCAATAAACAATATCGTATATTGTTCTGAAATTATTACAAATTGATGCTCATGTTGTAATTTAAACTTGACCTTTTAAAATAATGAACCCTCTCTCTACATATATATATATGATACTAAGTTCAGATATGTTCTCCAGTATGTCGTTCTAAATCTAAGTGCAGTTAGCAACTTACAATACATTAAAAACATTTATCACCTCTTAAATAGTAAGTTAAGTTTTATATAAAAAGTTTA